CGAGGAAGAGGAAGACCCGGACGATCCCGGTTCGGACGATGACGACACCGGCCGTTCGGACAGTGACTCGGACGATTTTCTGGAGCTGGAAGCGGAAGAGTCGGCTGACAGCGACTTAGACTCTGATGAGTCCGACCCTGGGTGGGGCGGTGTCGGTGGGGTCAATGCTCAGGACGATGCAAACTCTGAGGGCGAAGCATGGTTCTGACCGAGTTTCATCAGGTGTGTTTGGCCATCCTATCGCTGTTCATTTTTCTTCTTGTGTAGACATGTGCGAGTGTTGATGTCGCCTATATTTTGTTCGTCGCCTAGTGATCATGTTGGTGTATCGCGCCGGTGCCATACCGAGCCCACATAATGCGGTCTGCGTATCGTGTTTCAGGTAACAAACTTCCGCGAGATGATTTCGTCCAATGGCGGCTCCCCCGTTCTGCGTAGGTCAGGACTTACTGGCTTCGACCCCCAGCTTGGGTTTCGAGCATGTTTCCGGGTGAAGCGGATATCGGCTGCGGCAACGATGGCGTTGGCGCAGTGTTTAGGCAATGGCACGGCGGGGTTTCGGGAGTATTGATTATGTCTCCCTGCGCTTATTGTTCCCCGCGTCGGGGAATGTAGCGATTCAAGTGCTTGTATTTTCTCAAGGTTACATGTGCTGTAGACATATAGTGTCGGATTCCTTTACTCGTCAAGTTTAAAGTTCTTGCGTTGGGCCTACGGTATCATCATGGTGTGCACAAAGGTACACATACGGCAAACGACGTTGTTTTTGGAGCTTCACCCTCATTTTTTTTTAGTGTTATTCTCTGCGTTAGTAGGTCCACCTGACGAATTACCTCACGTTCATTAAAGTTGTTAGCAATCTCTTGTTCGTGCGGGCGGGGGGAGTCTGAATGGAAACACGCGAACTCACGTAGCGGTACTTCGAATATGTTGTGTTTCGGTCTGTTTCGTTCTTTACTTGTTTTCGAAAGGTGCACGACGACACAACTCCATGGACCAGTCGGATTTCACCGGAGTACAAAAGGGATACATGCCCGTGCGGGCCCCAACGGGGCATCCTGACGGCCGCAGCTGCTGCTGCGTGCGTGTTCGCCGTATTTTTCTTACGTGACTTTGTTTGTCGTTCGATGTGTGTGTATGGCGGCGCAACGCTACAGGACACTGTAGGAGATAAAGTAACCGTTTTCAGTTCAAATATGGACGCACGCCATTTGCAATTACTTCACCTGTACTGCGTGTTGCACCAAAGTGCAAATTACAGTAGAACCGCAAGCCTCACAGCAAGCCCATCCTGTGTCTCATACCACGAGTAGCGTGTCCAAAGACAAGCACGCTTGATCCGCGCAATACCTCTTTTTCCAAGCGATAAGTACCTCTCTCGTCTCGGAAGCACTTCTGGACACAATACTCAATATGTGTACTCCTCGTGTCATTGTTCGTATTTGTGTAAAGTTTCGTGTCGATCGGTTAGGTATAGGGCGCGTTCTCGTGTTAAGCTTGCCGCGCGTGCACACCACAGGAGGTTCGGCCGCAGCAGGGGCATGGATCACATTTTTTCGGCAGAGTCTCGGAGCCTGCGCCGAGCAGTTCTCGCGCTTTAAGTCGACGAAATTCCGTGAAACCAGCTTTCCTGAATAGCTACTGGTCTATTTTAGTGCTGTACGCCGACAAAGGTGGCAGTGCGGACGTCTGATCGCCAGTGGGCTAGCCAACTGCCATTTTTTGTGTTGAGCCGCTTATTTTTTTTTTTTATCAGGCGTGCAGTACTGCGACCGCTTTGATGGTCCGAGAGCGGCTCACGTTGCTAAGTGAACAATGTAGCATACGAACCGTTGTAATACCAACCGCCTGGGCTGTCTTCAATATCGCAGGGGGTCAAGGTAAACCCTATTCGAACTATTGCTGTGCCCGATGATGGTACGAACGGCAGTGTCGCCTGCGGCGGGAGGTCTCTTTGTCGCAAGGTAAGAAAGAGGGTGTTGATGAAGGAGAGACGAGGCGATTGCGGGAGATTTCGCGACACGTTTTGCAGCGTCGAACAGCCTGCTCGCGTGCGCGAACCGTCGACACCGGTGCGTGCATGCACTCTCAACCCTCAAGGATGGTGCAAACTCTCTGTCTAGCTCGCACGTTTCCGAGCTTCCACCAACGGAAACACCTGGCATGAACACATGAACACACCTTGCAAGAAAAGCGACGGTACAGCAGCAGTATTCTACTTTGTATGCATAGACTTCTGTTGTACGTAAATGATGGTCATGTTGCCGTCTCACAGCGCACGGCGGTTTAGTCCGCTACAAAGAGCCGCCACGAGATGAAGCTGGCGAGATGATACTGCTTGGCGATTCATTACGGCTGTATGTACTGGTACCGCATGCTTCAGTGCTTCAGTGCGGGAAAGTATGTGGCCGGACAGCCGCAAGTGGTACAGCGGTCAGCAGGAGACGGGCAAGTCATTCGAACGACGAAGGGTCGGGAACAGCCCGCACACCGCATTACCGCACATGTACATAACATGAACACACATGATATTTGAATCTGAGGCGACCATGTTTTGGAAGAGGAGCACGCACCCGCTGAGAAGGCTCCGCCTCTGCTTCTCTCGACCGCAGATCTGTATTGGCACCAGGAGAACAGGAGTCTTTGACAATGCCTACCCCGGCCGTCGCCGTGCTCTCCTCTACCCGTGAGGTTCCGCCGCCCCTGATGCCACCAACGACATGCTCTGGGGGCTGATGATGATGCCTCGGTCGATATATCTTCGGGGCTATGCCCCGAAACGCGGACGGCTGGTTCCCAGTTGAGCTACCACCAGACACTAAGCCAAACATCAAGAAACATCGCTGTCTCCACACGACCATAGCTCCCTCCTGCTGTCTCCCTTCAGTGATCAATGCGTCGGATTCTCACCAAACTCCCAATGTAGCAGACGCAGAATGTATTTTCAATACAAGAGGGTATCAGGTAGTGTTTGACCGGGGGCCCCCCTAATAGCAGTCTCCGTTTTTCTTGTCTGTGTTTGGTTTTCGGCCGTGTGCATGGTGTGCATTCTGAGCCAACCCGGTCTCTTGCCCAAGCGTTTGGGGACGGTCTGCTTCTCCCCAGGGGGGGAATATCCTTGCTCGGCTTTCGGTCCTCTTTGCCCCCGGGCGAAGCGCGCGCCAAGGCATGGCTTCCGTCCCTAGACCGATGAGGTCGTCGTCAAAGAATAGCATGGGCGGAGGATCGAGGGGCACGGCGGGGGGGAGCAGCTTCTCCTCTCGAGACTCGCCACGGGGCAATAGTAACAGCAGCGCCAACGGCGGCGGTAGCACGCCGCGCGGGAGCGGGAACAGTGGTATGGGGGCGTGGGGGTCGGGGAGGCTGGAGCGCAGCGCGCCGGCCTTCTCCGCGTCGAAGCAACAACACGGCGGCGGCGGCGGCGGCGGCGGCGGCGGCGGCAGCAGCGTTCCGCAGCAGCAGCACTCGGCCGGAGCAGTGGGCAGTGACAGCTACAAGATGGCGTGCCGGGACCGATGGATGAACGTGACGAAGACCATGATGGGCGAGAGGGCGGAGATAACGACCACCAGCGGCTGCGTGTACGAGGGGGTGTTTCACGTGCTCACGCCGGGGGACGACCCCCGGCCAGGCGCCAAGCGCGGCATGTACCGGGTGCGTTTTTGTTTTTTTACCTGCCAAAGCCTCTTGAAAATTTAGCATGATAATCAGACGATATTCTGTGGTATCTGTGGTTGTTTTTGTTGGTTGTTGCAGACTCCAACTGCAAATGGAATCAAAGAATGTGCAAGTAGCCTGCTTGATGATACAATGCATAGCATATGCATACAATATACTTGTGTGCATACGAGTCACAGCCTGCGTTTCTCATCGGCAAGCGTCATCATGGCAGCACTATGGTGCTGGCCTAGTCTTTGTGTGCCAATCAATCCCTGCATGCGATGTCTCTGCTCATCTCGCTCAAAACGATTTTTGAGAATCACGGCTGCTGCTGCTGGATCAACTGCTAAGATTCAGTGTCGTTTTCCTGTCAACACCGGGTGATCAGCCATACAATTAACCCGTCGTCGCATAATAATACATATTGTGGCACTTATGGTGTGTTTTTCTCGAGAGCGACAAACAGCAATGGGTTGTTGTTGTTGTTGTTGTTTCTCACATTAGCTCTATAGTCCACAAAAAATGGGGAGCCCGTGGTCTCAAAACCCGGCACATACGACGCCGCGAGAAAACAAAAAACAAAAATAGGATACAAACCACTCGGAAAAAGAAAACAAAATGATCGAAAGAAAGAAAAGAACAGGTATCGCACCTACTGTTCGAGAAAAGAGCCCTCGGACACCGATCAAAATAAAACAAAACAAAAA